TACTTAAAAATTCTAAAGAACTCTTGGACAATTTGTCTGATATCATTGACAGCTGCTTCTTCAATAAAAATGGAACTCGTAATTTTACTTACCTCGTCATTGGTCATTTGCAAAATTATTTTGTTAAAACAGATTCTGATTGCACACATAAGTACTCTGAAGTTTACATCAAGAAGATGCTTGAGTTTTTGATTGACAATATCTATGTGGTTTTTGGAGACCAGGTATTCCAACAATCTATTGAAATTCCCATGGGTACAAATTGCGCTCCGTTATTAGCAGACTTATTTTTATATTCATATGAAGCAGAATTTATGCAAAATCTTATGCGTGAAAAGAAGAAAACACTTGTTGTGGCCTTCAACTCGACATTTAGATATATCGACGACGTATTGTCAATTAACAATGGTAATTTCCATTCCTATGTCGATACGATATATCCTGGTGAGCTTGAGATAAAAGATAAAACAGAGTCTGACACTTCTGTTTCATACTTGGATATCAAATTACTTGAAAAAGACGCTAATGGTAATCTAACAACCAAACTGTATGATAAACGTCATGACTTTAACTTTTCTATCGTCAAATTCCTTTACTTATGCAGCAGTATACCTTCACCTGCATACGGAGTATATATATCTCAGTTGATTCGATACGCAAGAGCATGCTCTACGTATGAACAATTTCGGAAACGAGGTAAATTATTGACAAGCAAGTTGATGAATCAAGAATATCAGCAGTCTCATTTAAAGTCATCATTTCGTAAGTTCTATCGTCGATACAATGACCTTTTCAGCAAATACAATTTATCATTGAATCAAATGCTGACTGACATTTTTCATACCAATTGTTAGTCCATTATTTATACACTGAACTGACGACGGATTTTTTCCGTTATTTCCTGACATGACAAGGAGCACACGGAGGGTGTGACCGGTCGGCAGGGGATGCTCACTTCTCCATGGCACCTGATCCGACCTCTGTTGTTTCGGGCGTCCGTGTTTGCTCTGCTCTTATTTTGTATTGTTTTATGGACTTTGAGATTGAATACTGTTCGTTATCTCCATATCCTTTTGCTATGAACGCAGTTGAAGCCTGCAGGTTCATAGAGGGAGAGAGCAGTGGATATGCAAATATGCTTGTATCCAGATAACTGTGTTTGAGAGGGAAATACTTTACAATTAAAGATACTTGGACACAGATTTGAAGGTATTATTTTCTCTATAATATTACGACTTATATATTTTAATAGCATTTCACACAAAAATTAGTTATAAATCTTATTTCGTTTGAAAGATATTGAAATTTCAAATTTTTTGGCGGGTTTGATTGACATATCCTTGCACTCTCACAAATTTAATTTTATTCTTAATTCTTAGGAAAAGTGGCTATCTCGTTTTGTATAAATAAAAAATATTAATAATATTAGCCAGCTAGAAAATTCAGAGTAGACACGTTCGAAAGCAAAACAAACACACAATATATTGTCAGTCCGTGCAGTTGTGGTAAGCAGACTGTGACGATTGAACGCACCCGGTGAATTCTAACTATAAACAATAACAAAACTCGAACCCTGTTTACAAAAACTGTGTACATAACACGGGTGTGCTCGATTTGCTAAACTCTGTACGCATCTCTTAGTTCGGAATGACGATACTTGTGAAGGTGTTTTGCTTCCTAACATTTCTACTCTGAATAAAATTATTTTTCTTGATAAAAGTTTTAATATTTCTCATTAAAACACATCAAAATTGCCACTTTTCCTAAGGATTAAGAATAAAGTTAAAATTTGTGAAAGTGCAAGGATGTGTCAATCAAACCCGCCAAAAAATTTAAAGTTTTAATAACTTTTAAATGAAATAAGATTTTTAATTAATTTTTGTGTGAAATGCTATTGAAATATATAATTCGTGATATTATACAGAAAAAATGAGAAAATATTAACTTCAAATCTGTGTCCAAGTAATTTTAAAAAATAAGATATCATTTTTAGAGTGTCATTTGAAGTCGGTCACGTGATCAAATTCTTTAACGCCCTTCGAGCGTTATAGTAGATTTGATCACGTACCGACTTCATGTCATATCTCAATATTTACATTTGCTGATGTCATTCATGATATAACAATGCTAGTAAAATTGAAATTCAATTTTCAATGACATGAAGTTGGTCACATGATCAGATTTTCTTGAGTATTGAAAGCAAACTGCTCGTTCAGATTGTGACGTCAAATGAAGTCATAGAAACGTTACGTTGCATTTCCTAGTCTAATTTTGCCTATATTTCTTTGTAACACGACTAAAAAAGTAAAATATAAATATAAGAAATAAAATATCTTTTTCAGAGTTTCATTGGGAATGACATGAAGTCGGTACGTGATCAAATCTACGTTATAGAATTTGATCACGTGACCGACTTCATGTCATGCCTAAATAAAACTCTAAAAATGATATTTTATTTAAGAAATAAGGTATCATTTTTTGAGTTTTATTGAGATGTAAAACGGGTTGGTCACGAAGGGCTTTAAGGAAGATTTGATCATGTGCCAACCCGTTTTACATCTCAATAAAACTCAAAAAATGATACCTTATTACTTATATTTACATTTGTGACTAATTCATACTTTATATTTGCCTAATTGTTACTTTTAACATGTGAAATGCGTTAATTTTTGAAATCCAACGGCATGTATGTAATCCACTAAACGCGTGTCAGAGAAATTACGTCAAACGTTTATCCAAACGTACATCTATAACCTCTTGACCCCATACCTGTATTTATACAGTTATAAAAACGCTTGCCTTCAGTAGTGTTATATAAAGGAAAACATTTGCAAATGTAAATATTTCTTAATATTTACATTCGCTGTGTTTTTCTACTTAGACAACACTGAAATTGATTTGAAATTCATTTTCGTGTATACTCACGCGTAGAAATATACACGGAGAAACGTGCGCTAACGTGACGTCACAATAGGGCTCAGCGACGCTATAGTAAAAGTATAACAATATAGGGCAGCGAGAAATTCAAATATTGAGTATATTTCTGTGCTTCCAAACAAGTTAAATGTAAATATAAGGAATGTTTTTAAGTTTAGTGTGAATTATTGGTGTGAGAATCACACAGACTTGCACGTAGGCATATTTTTCATGAAGCGCTAGCGCGCTTCATGAAATATGCCTACGTGACAAGTCTGTGTGATTCACACACCAATAACTCACACAAAACTTAAAAACATTCCTTAAATAGACCCTTTCACGGTAACTGCGGTACTGCTCTTTTGCAGGGCAAAATGATATAGTTTGGTGAAATATGACGTAAAAGTAATTGTTAAGGTCAAGATCTAGTAAATAACTTGAGACTAATTTTTGGTGCTATATCCATTATGACGTCATAATCAATTTCAACTTTCTTTTTCCCGTACTTTACGGCTTTAGCAGAGTTATGTAGAAAATAAAGTATTCTCAAGTCATTCAATTTGAAATCATATGAAAAGTAAACCGGATACTAAAGAAGAGGCCATGAACATACTAATTACCATTTTCTGAGAGACTGTAGGCAATCTGGATACATTTCCTTTGCCGAATACGAAAAAAACTCCCATTTTCATGACCTGTTTTCTAAATTTTTCATTAAAAATGACAGTTAAAAATACAGTTTTTCATCTTGTTTACCTACAAATTATGCCCCGAAACACCTTATTTGACCAAGCTAAAGTTGTAAAGCATCAATAAAGGAATTTTTTTCTCAAGTTTGATAAATCTGTAGGCACCTTTCATTTACTAGATCTTGACCTTAAAGATACGTCATTTAATTGTCTATCAACAAAAACTTCGCCAAAAATTATTAATATGCCCTGCAAAAGTTATCGTGAAGGGGCTAATTGACATTCTAAAAATGATATCTTATTTCTTATATTTATATTTTTATTTCTATTCACATTACAAAGATAAAATGTCCTATTTAGACTTTGTTATTGAATGATATATAACGGATAAATACGACGTCATATGACGTCACAGTCAAGAATTCCAAATGTCTCGTGCAGTTTGCTTTCCATACGCAAGACAGTCAGATCATGTGACCCACTGCATGTCATCGAAAATTGAATTTCATTTTTTTTTTTGTATTGTCATATAAGGAAAGACATTGGCAAATGTAAATATTTACTGAAGACAAGAAGCTGCGTCCTTATGTAAGTCAGGATTTCCTCTGATATTCTTGAAAAAAAAAATCAAAGAATGCAAATAGCATAAGTAATAAACAACGATTATTCAGTGAACATGAATAGCAATATAGCTCTGATAGCGCGCATCATGGAATATATGCCAGCAGAGCAATTGCTATTCATAACGCCATGTTCACTGAATAACGTTATTCATTTCTTAAATGTGTTTACCATTTCCCCGCAAGCACTTTTTAGCATGGTACTAGTTTCTCCAAAGTTTAGCGCAAAAAAAATATTGTGAGTAATATTTTGATAAGAAAATAACTTTCTCGTTTTATGAAATTTCAGCAAGTAAATAAAATAAAAGGATTTTGGCAATAAATTGAGGATTTAATAAACTTTTTAAAGTGCGTGAAAATGCGCGATTTCGTGGAAACAGTATATGCGTGATTTTGCGTTAAAAACAGGAAATGGTAATATTTGAACAATTATACTACTCAATTAATCCGTAGAAAAGAACGGTATTCGGCCGTCTGTTTTAGCTTTATCTTTTATTCTCTCTTTTAATGTCAATTTTACTATACTTGTATTCCCTTATTTTACATGTTTTATATAGTAGCCTATATTTCTTTTCAGAATATTTGAAAAATTGTCTCAGTTGTTTGTTGTTTACTCAATTATCAATTTAAAAAACTATTTTTATTTAATGTTTATTCAGATAAATGCATATTGTCAAAGAAAAACAAAATAGCATTGACAAACTTACAGTAATAAATAAATAAATATTCAAATTTCAGGGTTTGAGAGGTTGACATCAAAGCAATTTTACGAAAGCATGTAACCTATCCTTGGTACGACTTAACTGGTTTCGGAAAACAGCATGTCAAAGTTCACATCGTTAAAGGTTAGTTTTATTTTTTTTTTATCGTAAATCTTAATTGTCAGATTGATTTCATGTTATTAAAATGCATGCTTACCATACTATATTTAAAACATTGGCATTCAATGAAAAACTATACAACTGTTGAATGTGGGTTTAGTGGAATGTAGATATATTGCCCGAAATTCCTCGGAAACTTTTTTTTTTTATGAATGCGACCTCAAGTAGGCTGTAAGACAGTACGTAAATATAACTAAGTTCTAATTCTATAATTATTCTTATCATGTGTAAAATGGAACAATATAAAAATTGAAATGAGGACTTTCTACGGTAACTGGAAAAACCCGAAACCCCCCGATTTTTGGAGAATACCCATACAGGAAGGGTGAAACCCCAATAAAGTGGTGGAAACCCCATAAATTTGAATGTAATGGGGTACTATAAGGCCTAAGGTGATGTTTAATTGAATCATATTGACATCCGTAAATTTTTATAGCCAATTTTACCTCAGAATCGACGGGTTTCTTCTTGTCTTGATATACTGCACACCACGCCCGATCTAAATTCGCGATCTCTGAAGTCGTTTCGAGTAATCCGTGGAAATAATTACTGTAATCTTGATCAATATGAATATTATTTTATGTATGAATATTATTTAAAAAAATTATTTGTAAGGAAACCCTTAGAATATAAAAGAAGTATGAAATATTTATCATGTTGAAAGACATTACAGTGCAATGTTTAAAGTAATATACGCTATAACGTGCGCCATTTTAAAATACGGCTGGAAATTTATATATTTTGTTTACCAATAAAAGTTACGAAAATGCTGTAAATTACACCATTTAAATAAAATTCATTATAAAGTTATCAAATTATAATTATTTATTATCCTGCAAGGAGAATAATGTCTATTTTTAAGTAAATCCACCACGTGACGCCGTCGCTACTTTTAGATTGATAAACAAACACGGCGTCAAGAAAACGAGGTAAGCCCTTTGAGATACAACTCACTTTTGACATGGATAGTGTGTTACTATTAATATAACTTATCTTTAAATGTAATCAGTATCAACCATCTATACTCTGTTATGACGCATATTAACCTTTTATTAATAATCGTTGTCAAAATGCAACGTGCCTCGTTGTCTATAATTTCCCGTGGACATACGTGTCTATATTTAGACCTACTGTTTACGCACTTCCTTTATCAATATTCATGAAAAGACTGAATTCTTGATTGCAGATATTGCTTTATTGTTCTGTTATTACAACGAGGTTTATAGTTAAATTTTGTGGAAATATTATTTTTTCATTACACTTTATGTGTTTCAAATCATTTAATCATTTTGTTTCACAAACAAATCGGCATCCATACGGCGTATATTACTTTAATTGAATTTTTTAAATGAATTTAACTAGTCCATTAATCAAGAAATAAAGTCATTTTTATAAATTCCAATCATTTATAATAAGTAATTAGATTAAATTAAATTAATTAATGAATGAATCTGTTAATGTAATTATTATAATGAAAGGCATTACAGTGAAATGTTTAATTGAATGTTTTTATTAATGAATTTAACTAGTCCATTAATCAAGGAATACAGTAATTTTCTCAATTCCAATCATTTATAACATGTAATTAAATCAAATTAACAAATGAATGAATTTGTTAATTTATTTAATTTTTAATTAAGGTGTTTGTTTTGAAATGCTTTCTTCTATGTTTAATAATTAATTTTAGAATTCAGTATTCATTCATTATTATTTTCCAGTTACTAATTTTTAATTTGTTTTAATGTTTTTGGTTCTTTTTTTTCGGGGGGTGGGGGTGGGGGTGGGGTGTTGTTGTTGTTGTTGTTTGTTTTGTTTTGTTTTTTATGCAAGTATTATAGAAAAAAATATACTCATTGATACGAGAAAGCAACATGTATCCATTACAATGAAATGATTAGAATCCAGGTCTATGAAATAAAAAAGTCTGATAAAAAAATATAAAAATGTGCATGTTGCATATGTGAATCCTTGTACAGATGGTATTGTAACATTATTGTGAGAATATTATTCACATCTCAGCTAGCTCTGTTGTTTTGAACTGGGATAGACAGGCACCCCTGTGTGTGTACATGCACTATATACACAGCTGTTGACACTTGGTCAACTTGATAATAAACACCCTTTGTTTAAACACCTAGGTTCCCAGCTAGTCTGACCAACCCCCCTCTGGCAGGGCATGTGTATATACATTGAACCTTTACTATTCTCAATTGTACAGTTATGGGTCATTTTCAAAAAATGTCCAAATTCCTGTTATACAAGCTTTTTTTGAAAATTTTGCAATAAAAATCAAATTTTTTTACCCGATGAATTTAACAACAATCTACAAGTGTAGAAAAAAAAATTAAGTGCGATTAAAAATTGACTTGAATACTGAAAAAAGTCCTTCAACCTGAGTAAAATTAAAGAGAATTGCTTGTGATTTGGCCGGATGTTTGACTTCAACTCTGATTATTGATGTAGTAAATATAATTAAGCAGTGAAAAATGACCTTTATTGTGTTGTACATGTTTAATACTGTCTAAATGCATGCTAAAATGGGATTGAAAAAGAGTAAGAATAAGATTTTTTTTAAGTTAAGTGTGTGTTATTTTGGCCGTGTCCATGGAGTTACAAGGACATAAAAGTTATCTGTAACAGTTATCTTTCCTAAAGAAACTCTTCACTATCAGCCTCCTTCTTTTGGTCTTCACAGTTCCCGCCAAAATATCATGAGACACTTTACACAGATCTTTTATACCATAGGCACAATATGTGGTTGAATGCAAGTTTGATTGCAATAGTAATTTATTTTTGAGTCCTTGGAGTTACTTCGATATTGTGATGATAAATTAATTTGCCATTTCTTTGATGCATTGAGCAAGTTTATAACAAAATACCTATCATCTAGGAGCTGTGCTTTATGTTCATAAGTCAGTTATTGCTTTTATACTTCCAATTATTTATATAATAATTCCCTGGTGTTACTGTCCATTTTGTTACTGCAAGAACTGGATCATTATTCCTAGTCAATCTTTTATTCATATATAAAAATATTACAGCCAAATGAAAGTAATATACATGAAATAAAATAAAATAATAAAAATTTTAGAGAAAGGAATTTATAATTTAATTAGCAACATTTAAAAAAACAATAACATTCCTAACCTAACCTAACCTAACACAACACCAAACAGTATTCACTGGTCTGCACCCGTCTGGCGGGGGAGGAGTACTGCCTGATACTAACCCTACTCTAGAAAAATTTTTTAAAAATTTACTCTAAGTCCTAACCTAACACAACACCAAACAGTATTCACTGGTCAGCACCCATCTGGCGGGGGAGGAATACTGCCTGATACTAACCCTACTCTAAGTTCTAACCTAACACAAAACCAAACAGTATTCACCGGTCTGCACCCGTCTGGCGGGGGAGGAATACTGCCTGATACTAAAAGATATAAATTCATCTTCTGTGTCAGAAATAGTGTTAGGAATCCAAAACATTATTGAAAAACTGTTAAGAAATGATTTGGTTCAAAAAATATTTATTGGAAGTCTGTTTAAGCAAATGATTTGTGGTACTATGGATCCAGGAAAGTACAATTCTACGGTTTTTGATATAAATAACACACTCCGGAGGAAATATGGAAATTCTCAGAATGTGATATTTTGGAGATGTAGGGGTTTAATGAATTCGAATATAAAAACATTTGGCATGTCAATGAGATTAGTTTGAACAGAGAGGCAATGGAAATTTTTAGTCGACAGATTCGCGATATCAGCTTGCAATGAAATGTAAAATTACATAAAATACCTGCATGTGCTTGGAGATGATCAAATAATTTCAGTTATCTTTCAACCATGCAGTCCAGACAGACATTTTTCATAGTTAAAATTCCATCAAAACTTCAGTTCTTTTATTTTGTTGTGCGATTTTTCTTCTTCTGTTTTTTTCTTTTATTTCATATTTGTTGTAATTTAAAGACAATTCATAATGTAAACAACTGATGTAAAATATTTTTTTTTCTAAGAAAAGAACATAAAAAAGTTACTTTGAAATTAAATATCTATATATTTGAAAATTACTATTTATTTCAGGTTTCAGTATTTTCATCTTTTGACATTGATTTATTTTTTATAATCTCTTTGTAACATATAAGTAATTATTATTTTTATTTTTAATTATTATTGTTGCTTTGAACCTTTGAATTTCAAATTTTTAAATCCCTACATTCAGAATTTGTCTAAAATCTCAAAAATAAAATCAGTATTTTCAATTTTTCATATTTTGAATTTTATAAAATTATTTATTTTTTTTGTTCTCTTTGTAACAAATAAGTAATAAATTATCTTTACTATTTTTTTTTTTTTTTTTTTTTTTTTTGTTAATGCTGCTTTGAAGCTTTTGGATATTTTCATATCTCTAAATTCAGATTTTCTCTGAAATATCCTTAATGAAAATTTTTTTTTAAATTATGGCTCTACAAAAAGGAGGCCTCCACATGGCTAGAGCTGGTAACATTGGGATAATTTGAATAATTAATACACAAATTCATATTTTCTTAATGGCTAACGTCCTTACATTTTTTGTTAAATACTTATTACATAATTAATATTTTACTATTATCATTGAAAAACAAATATAATTGTGGAAATTATTATGAATTATTTTAATATTATCTATACAATTATATCAGGGACCTATATACTTACTAAACTTTAGTATATAGGTCCCTGATTATATTGACAAACAGCTCGCTTCGAATTTAGATCGGGCGTGGTGTACGGTAAATTCGTAATGGCGCCCGATTTCCATCGATTCTGAGGTAAAATTGGCTATAAAATTTTACGGATGTCAATATCATTCAATTAAACATTACCTTAGGCCTTATTTTACCCCATTACGTTCAATTTTATGGGGTTTCCACCACTTTATTGGGGTTTCACCCCTCCTGTATGGGTATTCTCCAAAAATGGGGGGTTTCGGGTTTTTCCAGTCACCCGACTTTCTATTGTAAATTTGGCGGTTGTAACGTCTGTTTGATAATCTAAATTTCTTTGTTTACATTTACTATTATTTAGTATTTCTTTTGTTTTAGGGACTGGTGAGTCTTGTGACGGGAGGGGCGTCAGGCCTGGGTCGTGCCACGGTGGAGAGGTTCACCAGACAGGGGGCCCGCGTGATTCTCTGTGACCTTCCCTCCTCTGATGGCCAACTAGTCGCGAAATCCCTTGAAAACTGCACCTTCCTCCAGGCTGATGTAAGTCTGGAATATGTACTGTGGTTTGTGTGGTAACACTATGTGTCTCTACCACACTACTACTGTAATGTGGGATAAATATCCGAGAGATCCCCAAGCAACTTCCTCTCATGGATATTTAGTTGCGATTCAGTTTGTATTATTAACATCAATGTCATATAGTACCTGTTTGTTTGCATTTCGTGCATTTTCTATGGCTAATTATTCTGCTATTTTCCATGGGTAACCCTTTTAGATTTAAGATATTTGCATGAGGATGTGTTTCAAAGTCCCATGTCAGTACAGTGAAAAAATGAAATGCAGAAAACCATAGATTTTATTATGCATTGCACTGGTATTCACTATAAAACCGTTTTAACTTAATTTAGGGAGTTACCTAACAAAAGATTTTATAATACATGAATGTTGATTTGAAAGAAATTTGTGGAAATATAAATAAAAACTGTAATTTACTTGTTCACAGAAATTTATTCTCACGGGTTCTATGATTTTAGATAACCTCAGAAGGAGAAGTGAAGGAAGTGTTAAGATCCACAATGACGGATTACAAAAAGCTAGACGTCCTAGTGAACTGTGCAGGGATTGGGGTCGCCAGGAAGACATACAACATCCACAAAAATAAACCCCATCCGCTGGAGGAGTTTGAGAGAGTGCTCAAGGTAGGTAGGAAATTTACTTTAATAAAATACAGTCAAACTTCATCATCTCCAACCTGATGGGCTAAAGATTAAACTTTGAGATATCTAAGGATTCGAGATATTAAGGGTAAGGCCATACCAATTTCTAATATAGTTCGTCGGATTCGCTGCTTCTATTTTCAACAAATCCAAATTATAATATTATAAACATAAAATTCACGCCCGCGTCCAAAAATATCCGAATACAATTTTTTTTTTTTTTTTTTTTTTTTTTTTATACACATAACGCATAAGAGACTTGGAAATTTGTATGACAGATGCGCGGGATTCAGTCAGTTTGTTTGTACTTTGAAGCAGTCTGTGAAGTTCTGCAAGATGCCTGTGTAACTGTTTGTTACCAGGGGTGAGCAATTAGCATCCCCTGACGCCCAAGGCTTCCATTTTTGGGGATCGGCTAGTTGTTTTCTGGAAGGAGGTAGCCCGTCGGACTAATAAAAAAATATAAGTACACACACAATACATGACAAGCACAAACGGTATTTTCACTTGTTTTTTGTTATAAATTTCCCAACCAGTTAAAAATTTCCAGACAACATGCTCCTATTGTCAATAAATCTCCATAATCTTATCTGTTTTATAGTTCTATCTGACTTATTTACTTCCAAAAACGATCGTTTTTTCCTAATCCGAATTTCCTCTATTAATGGTAAATACATGCAGATATCTCATTAAATTATTTATGGTCACCCAATTAACTGAAAGATAGGTGTTTTGTGACTTACATAAAATATATTTTCAGTGTATTTAATGATTTAAAATGAAAACAAAATGAATTTGATCGTATTCTAAATGAGTGCATTGATCAGAAAAAGGGAAGTTAATTTATTTAAATTAATTTCAATTTTTTTCATAATAATTTATGACAGTTAGAACTTTTAACTTTATTTCTCAAAAAGAATGACCTCAGTACCCTGACTAATTTCTTCTCAGCATTAATATTAAATTTAATTTTTGCCCCTCTATTTGCATGGGTTAACTTTTTACTTGAGGCTAGTAACTTGAAAGCTGCCACTAGCCCATGGGAAAGTACTTGATTTTTTTTTTAATTGCATACCCCTGTGTACTATAGTTAAAAACACTGGGTACAAAGTAGTTCAATACACAGCAATAGAAATGGAATCAGAGGGGATATTTGAAGCTTTGTTTTATGAAAAGATGAAGAGAACATCATCAACATATGAAAAATACAGTACACACAAGATTAAGTAAATATTGACAATATTTGTTCAATAAAACTTAAGAAAATTCAAAAAGCGATGCAATTGTGATTTCAAAACCTGACATGACCTTAACAATCTGCAAAGAATTAAACAGAAAATTTGTAGAAATGAAACTATGTCAAAATTGCAATGTTACAAGAAACAAATGAAAGACAAGTTTTCGCGTCTTTTGAGTGTAGCTAAAATGTATTCTTGTCCAGAAAAAATAATAGAAAAAAGAGAATTATGTATTCGAGATATCAGAGTTCAAGATACCCGTGTTCAACTGTAGTTTATTACTTATTCCTTTATTTAGATGAGGATATTCATATATACCGGTATCATGCTAATGGTATCAGCAATTTTGAAGTTAACCTTCAACTGCAAAGTGAAAGGTGTGCTTTTGTAACATATATTGATATAACATTGTGTAGTTCTCTGGCTGTAGAATCTGTGACATGATTGTAGGTAAACACGCTGGGAACATTTAACGTGATCCGACAGGCCGTAGTTCTGATGGCACAGAATGAACCAAACGAGGACCAGGCAAGAGGCGTGATCGTTAATACGTCCAGCGTCGCCGCGTTCGACGGACAGATGGGACAGGTGGCGTACTCAGCCAGTAAGGCGGCCATTGCTGGGATGACGCTACCTCTAGCTCGCGACCTCGGAGAGTACGGAATTCGAGTCTGTACGATTTGTCCTGGTAAGTTATCTGTGTTATTCACAGGAAGCCTCTAAACTTAGAATTTGATCGACATAGTCTAATCTTGGCTGAAATTTGACATAGTCTAATCTTGGCTGAAATTTGACATAGTCTAATCTTGGCTGAAATTTGACATAGTCTAATCTTGGCTGAAATTTGACATAGTCTAATCTTGGCTGAAATTTGACATAGTCTAATCTTGGCTGAAATTTGACATAGTCTAATCGTGGCTGAAATTTGACATAGTCTAATCTTGGCTAATTTTTGACATAGTCTAATCTTGGCTGAAGTTTGGCTCAATGAAGGCATTGGTCCAAACATCCGGAAAAACCAAAATGTATTCTCACCCGAGAAAAAGATGTCATCTTACTATTTTTGTGTTCTTTCTTATATGTCAAGGTCACTGGATGTAGGTGACTTATGTCCTGCTTACGTCTGTATGTAACTTTCTGAAGGTGAACGAATATTTTGTCAACAGTGTTTTTACATGGTATACAGTCTTTGTAACAAAAGTTCATAAATGAAGACATAACATAAAATTTCAATTCCATTCCATTTCATTATGACATGGATCTCCCTGGGAACAACTGACAGTTGTATACATCAAGGAAGTTACAATGGATCAGTAGGACTTCACATCCATTGTATCATGGTAAAAAAACACCACATAAATAAAAAAAATAATTTGAACACAAACAAGTGAAAAAGTGCAATTATAAGCCTTCAAACTGTAAATTTATAACAGAATTAAATGATGGTTTTGCACAGTAAACTTAAAAAATACTTGATATTCAGATAACCTTTAGAACTTTCAAGGTGATTAATAGATGGTCAAATATTCCATTGGATGAAAGGTATACATTAAATATAACATGTTAAATAGCAAATCTGTTTTCATTGTGTGTCTGTTACTATATGTATGTACACATGTATACATTTATGTTCTTGTATCCTATATCTAGTTTTTCTTTCACTTTCAAATTGAACTATGACGTCTTAATGACAT